CATATAAGCAACAATTTTTACTCAAATGCCATTGTAAGGATATTTTAAAATAAATAAAATCAAAAATTTTCTTTTATTTTAAAACTATGCGGAAAAAACTTATCCTTACAATCCATATGAAAACTTGTTGTTATCTATTCCTTAGCAATATCTCATAACTCCTAAGAAGTAGCTCAAGAATCCGATTTTCAAACTACGCGATAGAAATCTATCTATGCGATCAGATTCAACATATTCTTTCTTTAAGTTCCTTTACTTTTCTTTGATTCTTAAAACATTACCATGTGACCCACTCACATCATGTATCAGGAATCTCAGAATAGAAACTTAACAGAGTTAGATTAGTGGACTTTACCTGAAGTAGAGTCAATCTTATTTACTTTAACATCCTTAGGTAAATTTGCCAGCTTCGCAACTAATGACCCTTACTTTGGCAATATAAACATATGGACCCTTTGATAATGGTACACAGGACTATTACAGACTTAGCCTTTTTCTCTTTACCATTTGTTCAACCGAGTTGACTATGGCCAATCCCTTTCCATTGGGAAGAGAATGCTTTTCTGGATTTCCTGTGTCACTATTGTCAATTTCCATCAAGTTTTTAGGAAGTTGATCTTAGCAGGTAGATAAGATCATTAAGGGTCTTGTCATAGTCTTTTCATAGGTGTCCAAAGGAAACTCACTATGTGACTTAGAAAGTGATTGAACACCAACTTTCTCAAGACTTTGACACCCAACTCTCCCGGCTTGTCAATATGTGACTACATCTCCAAGATGTGACCACACCTAGACCTTGCCTTGCCAATAGGGCTTGAGTGACCTTAAACTTTTCAAGAACTTGTGGGGTAGGGAGAATAATTAGAGGAGGTGAAAGAAGTATGATTTCCATGGAATATCATCTCATTTAGGAAAGCTTGTTTCAAGAGATTTGGGAAGATCATAAATGTCTAAAACAGACATGTTTTGGGAGATATTCAAGATAGTTGATCTTAAAGCCTTAATATGACACCCAATATGAAATATTAAGGCTAGGACCCAACAAACTATTTTATAACTTAGAAGAGGATGCCGTAATCCAAGCTATAAAAATTTGAAGGTAGGTGAATGACGATTCACCAATTTCCACCAAGATAAACGAAATGTATTATTAGGTTTTAATTGGTTTTGAAACTCCTAGATCTTTTGAGATTCATTGAACTGTTCAATGGCATGTTTCAATCTCGAGTGTGCCCTTCAGGTTTTGTGACTGGATGCCGAGGATCACAAAACAAGGTGTGAAGTAACCATGCAAATTACTTGGTACCCTTAAGTGTTTACCCCTCAATCGATGTGCCGGTTAACCACACACGCTCCATCGATACTATGATAAACATTAAGTTACCCTTTGCCTACCTTGTTAAATACGAGTTAGTGTGCCGGTTAACCACACACGCTCCACTAACCGACTTAAACAAAGTGCAAAGTGTAATTTCATGGATTAGCACCTTATTCACATTTTCCTAAGTAACTAAGATTGGGAATTATTAAGAGTTTAGTTACTTAGTATTTATCATTAATACTTTTAATGAAGGGAGAATTATAGTCCTGTCAAACCCGTTTGGCTAACGACCCTCCACCAGTCAAGCAAGCGGTGGGTGAGAGTGGACACCCATTAAGTTGCCATTTTATAGGCAACAACCTTATACCCACCTTATAGACCGGCTTCGTGAATGAGGCGTACTAGCGGTAAGACTGACTTTACTCTTATACATTTATATATTATTAACTTATAATATTATAAAGTATAAGGGTTGAATTTTAACTTTTAAAATTCTAAGGGCTAACTTGGAATTAAAGTATTCATAAGAGAAAACTTCTTCAAATTCCAAAACTTGAGGGCAAGTTTTGAAACTATTCAAAACTAATTAATTCCATAACTTATGTGTTTAAAGTAGTTTTAATCCAAAAACTCTTCAAGTTCCATAACTTATGGAAGACTTTAAACTAATAAAAAGAATTAACTTTTCTTTATTTTTATAATTTATGGAATTAATTAAGGTTACATTTTTTTTATTTAATGAAGAGACTATTGGTCCTCCATAACTTGAGGACAAATTATGGAGTCATAACTCCAATTAATTAGAACTAGACTCTTCATTTTTGTAACCTTTGCCAATTTTATGAGTTTTATGAGTCTTTAATGTGACTCTTTCATGTAACTTGAGGACAAGTTACACAAACACATTTTATACTCAACTCTTAGATTAAAATGGATTGAAAACAACTAATTCAATTAACTTTTCTATTAATCTAAGCAACTCATAAGAACAAGATAATTCAAATCAAACTTTTTCATGTAATTAGTCTAAACCTTAAACTAATACAAAACATGAATCTATTGACAATTATCTTTGAAAATGGATTAGCATGTACATTACCACATTAAAAAACAAGTTTATAAGTTCAAAAACAACTTAGGGTAATGTTCCTAGTCCATTTCTAGCCAAAAAACTTGAAAATATGCTGTCTGGGGTCCAACTCGTCGAGTGCATGAACATAACTCGGCGAGTTGGATGCATTTTGCCTTGGACTCGTCGAGTCCCTTCATGGACTCAGTGAGTCTGCTGGGTAGACAACAACAAAACTCGATTTTTCAGCTTCTATTGCAAGTATAACAAGAAAACAAGCCTAGGCTCTGATACCACTATTGGGTTATGAGCATTCTAACACTCCTAAGTGTACATGCAACCCTAAATACCTTGGATCTATCTTTTCCCTATTATACATGCAAATATGAACATCCAAGGTATTATCCTAATCTAGCATACAAAAACTATCAATATAACAAGATAGAATACATACCTCTTTGATGTAGAATGTCTTCATAAAGCTTGAGTGCCTAGTGCCCCAAGTGTGACACCTCAAATGGTTCACACAACACCAAATACACTTGGAATAACTTGAGAGAAATCTACACTTCATGTAAATCGGCTAGCCCTTTCTTTTTCTCACTAGTAGCCGATTTTGATCAAGAATAAGATGCTTATATAGTTATACAATTAGGGTAAACCCTAATTGTCATGACTTTTCATTTCCTTGGATCCATGGGTTCAAATACACCATGGAGCATCCATGGAGCATTAGCCCACTATATAAGTATGGATGATTTGCACAATCAACCCATATATTTAATTAGTCTTCTTTTGATCACTTAATTAATCCTAGATTAATTCTTGATCAATACTAATTAAATAATATTATTATTCTTATTATTAATATACTAGAACTTATAATATATTAATAACCTTAAGTGTCTTATTTCTCTCATTATAGTCTATCCAAGTGCATGATGCCATGCAACCCAAATGGACCATGCCGGGTCGGGTCAAGTCTTACCAATTATAGTTATGGACTTAGACATTAATCCAACAATGAGAACATAGGATTATATGATCCCTTATCTAATGGACAAGTCATTGACAAGATCAGAGTTCATCTACAAGGTCAGAGTTCGACAGAAGCTTTTGAGAGCTACGATTGCCAGTTGGTTCCTGAAGTCATACGCAATAATAGTTTTAGACTTATCCAAGTGGGAGACTGTTGGATTAATGTCTAAGTCCATAACTATAATTGGTAAGACTTGACCCGACCCTGCATGGTCCATTTGGGTTGCATACCATCATGCACTTGGATAGACTATAATGAGAGAAATAAGACACTTATGGTTATTAATATATTATAAGTTCTAGTATATTAATAATAAGAATAATAAAATTATTTTTTTAGTATTGATCAAGAATTAATCTAGGATTAATTAAGTGATCAAAAGAAGACTAATTAAATATATGGGTTGATTGTGTAAATCATCCATACTTATATAGTGGGCTAATGCTCCATGGATAATCAAGTTGGGCTAAAACCCATAGGATGGTCCATGGATGCTCCATAGTGTATTTGAACCCATGGATCCAAGGAAATGGAAAGCCATGACAATTAAGGATTTACCCTAATTGTAACACTATATAAAGATCTTATACTTGACAAAAATCGACCACTAGTGAGAGTAACAAAGGGCTAGCCGATTTCATGAAGTGTAGAACTCTCTCAAGTTATTCTAAGTGTTTTGATGATTGTGATTCCATTTGAGGCTTCCACACTATTGGGGCTAGGCACTCAAGCTTCATGAAGACTTTCTACATCAAAGAGGTATGTATTCTATCTTGTTATACTCATTGTTTTGTATGCTAGATTAGGATAATACCTTGGATGTTCTTATTTGCATGTATAATAGAGAAAACATAGATCCAAGGTATTTAGGGTTGCATGTACACTTAGGAGTGTTAGAATGCTCAAAACCCAACACCTTCTTCTTCATTCTAACCTAAAAAAATCTTCCATTCTCTCCCTAGAAGCTCATGAATACTAAACCCATTTCTCACAAAAATCCACTTTCCCAGAGTTCTACCGGTCGGAATCTCGTGAAACCACCGACATTCTTCGCCATTTTTCATCTCTACAAACCCCACCCAAATTTCGGTCTGATATGTGGCCGGAATTCTGCGCGCCACCACCCACCCACCACCACCTTCTTTCGCATTTTCCGGCCAACTCCGACCACCATTGGACATTCCGAGCACGGGGTTTTGTTTCTCTCCTCAAGGGCTTTCTAATCATACCAATCTTTCCGCAAAAACTCACGAAAAATTTCCGTCTAATTCTGGGTGCCGCCACTCCATTCGCCAGAAAATCATCTTGAAACTCGTTTGTGGGGTTGTTTTAGCGATTAAAGCGTCAAATACGGAGCAAAATTGCAAGCTTGGGGTATGTCTTGACGAAATCTTTTTGGTGACACTAATTCATCCCGAGTCTAGGAAATTAGGTAATTTCACTCCTTTCACTTGATTATTGACACCTCAATTTCCCATTTGTTGTTGGTATTGTGTGCCTTTGTTGTGGTTTGAGAGTTATTATTGGTAGAAATTTGTCCCAAATAAATGTCTAAACGTGAAAAGATGGGGACGGTAGCTACTTCCTCTAAAGGAGGGTCAAAAGGAAAATCCAAGGATCCTCCTTTTCGTTTGTTGAATCGCGAGGACCGTCAAACTTATGATTTTCTCATTTCAAATAAGCGTCAAGTTAAGTCAACAAAATTCCTCCATAGGGAATCTTTTGCTAGTCTTGGGGTACTCGATGGAGTCCAAGCGTTATTTAACAACATCGGGTGGGGTCAATTTCTCTATAACCGCGCTGCCACCTATGTTGAACCCACCATGGAATTTCTTGTCACATTCAATCCCGAGGATGAAGCCCAAACCGTCACCTTCCAAATGCTCGGTGAGAAACGATCCCTACCACATCGGGTCGTGAACGCTTTGATGGGTGCTTCAGTAGACAACCTATATTACCAACAAGACCCATATCCCGGAAACTTCAATGAACATTACTTTTGGCAACAAATTACCAATGAGCCACCATATTCATCGTCTTCGTCAAAGGCCTCCTCCATAATTCACCCATGTTTGCGCCTAGCGCATCGAGTTCTCACATGCACCATTTTTGCCTGCTCCGAAGTGGGACAAATTTCAAAGGCGAAATTATTTTTCCTTTGGTGCATGACTCGTGAGAACGGTCCGCGGCCAGATTTTGCCTCCTTCTTCTTCACCAAGTTTTACAACCTCACAACTATGGACAAAGGAGACATTTTCATTGGGGGATTAATCACCAAGTATATAGGGAGTTTTGAGCCAACCAATCCCGAGCAATGGATTATTCCATCTGACTACCCTCCACCTGTAGATGATGAGGATGACCAGTTTCAGCATTCACAACAATTCGCCGAGCCTCAGTTTCAGCAGCAATACGGGGGATACGAAGTCCCACCATATTTCCCCCTACGTTCTTTGACCAATTTGCCACAATGTTCTCCACGGTGCAGCGTATCGACACCTAAACGCAAGAGAATACGAGAGCCATCCAAGATGTGGCGACTCGTGTTGATCGATTGGAGTAGTCCTTCCCTCCCACTTCTCGCTAGGTTCAAGGTATGTGGGGCTACCATTATCGCCACGAACATTTCCCGCCGCCGACCCTCTGATTTAGGTCCTTTCCGCCCTTTCCTTAAGCATTGAGGACAATGCTTGTTTTTAAGCTTGGGGTGGGGCATTTATCTTATCTTTTACTTTTTCATGCATTTTTAGTTAGGTTGCATAACTTATTAGTTTAAGTTAATTTGCATTCATTTTTTATTTTATAAAATTTCAAAAAGATTTCATTTTCTTTTTTTTCCACTTTTTATTTTTGCATAACATTTGGCTTAAGGCATTATCATTCATGCATTTTTGTTGTCTGTTTATTCTCACCTCTTTTGGATGCCATGGAACAGGTTCATAGTTATTGTATCATTATTGGTCCAGGATCTTGTTGCTATCTCACCCATCGAACCGGGACCACTAGCTGCAGTTTGGGATTTCATACTTGGGATCAGATGCTGGTAGCTTAAAGGGGTAAGTGATCATGGCTAGGTAGTTTCATGAAAAATTATGCATACAATACTAACAACTGTAGGATATACTATAGCAATGTATGTTCTTAGCATTGTTGTCACTACCGTGGAGAGGATCACACTTGATCATGTCTGAATTGTTAGGATGAAGCATTGGTGCTTGTCCCCGAGTAGAATCTATATCCGGTCTCTTTACATCACCATATCTTTTTGCGATCTTCTTAGAATTTTAGAGTCTTTTAGTCCACTTTTGGACATTTTCATTATCTTTGAAAAAGCACAAGTTTGAAAAGGAGCTTACATTACATCTTTATGCTCCACACATGGTTATATTCACACTTAGGCCATTCGGATTATATCATTACCCTTTCGGTTCCACTTACACACCTTTGGGAACCAAATTTTGAGTCAAAGGGTTTTCTTGTTAAAAAAATTTCGATAGTTAATATATTACCTTCATGTGTTTTATCAAAAAAAAAAAAAGAAGCATGCAAATTTCCAGTTGCAACTATCTTAGATAGGTGGCCAGTTCAATTATTGAACTAATTTCACAACATCTTGGTCACCCAGCATTTGATATTCATTTGTATAGGTCTGTTTTATTGTATATAGATCGAGTTGTTATTTTTTTTTCTTTCTCGCAAATTGGTGATGTTAGGGAGACTGTCGAGTCGGATACTATGGGAGGTTTGGGCCAACACTAAGTGAACTGATTCCTACAACGGTGCCCGAGTGATTAAACCTAGTTACACATGAGAGAAACCAGCAGATGTGAGATCAGAGTGTGCACTTAAAGAAGAGCTACACCCGAGCCCATCCAGTTGCTTTCTCCCTACTACAGATGTTCTTCATTGTATGCATGTTCCATTGAGGTTGCGACTGCTCATCCCTCCTTACTCACCTAAAGGAGTTGTCCTGGCTTTGGTTTATGGTTCCATTGTCATTGGATGAAAAAGTTGTGAGATAACAGCGAAATCAATTCTGACCATGTTGACTAACGTTGAACAGGTTCCGCGGTTCTATCCATTCTTTATATTTTCCTTAGGATAGTTCATCCCGAGTTCATTTTAGTCTTGTCTTACTTGAGGACATGTAAGGTTTAAGCTTGGGGTGATTTGATAGCTTCATTTTATTTACTTCTTTTTATAGTTTTTTTTAGCACATTTCATTCACATTTTAGTTAATTTTCATGCATATTTTCCTTTTTGTTATTTTTATGACCATTTTGGGTACTTTGTAGTTTCTTGAGCATTATTGCAGATTTTCTTGGAGACTAGTTGAGCGGGATTCTTGGGAGGCGATTGGGCTTGAAAGGAAATCGGGATTTCATGCCTGATGGCTATGGAGGTGATTCATGGAGTGTAATTGTCAATTGCTTGAAGGATTGAAAGTGTTGAACTTTAAATTTAAAAGACACAGGAAAATTCTTGAGTGTGCAAGATAGATGTTTAGGAGTTTGCAGAAGTTTTGAGTGATGTGGAAAGACAAATTGGCCTCAAATTGAAGAAATATTGAAGAAAAATGTGCTAGAAGCTGATTGGACTCGAACTGGGCCAATGGATTAGTTGTGGGGGCCCAAGACTTGAAGATGCCCAAAATTCCCGTTAGTACAGCGACCCGCGTAAGATTCCCTACGGCTCGCGTGGATTCCTAACAAGGGCAATTTCGGGATTTTGCTAAGAGCTCTATATTGGGAAGGTTGGTGGGCCTCTTTATCCTTATCTTGTAGGTCCGAGTTTGGCTGATTCTCTCTGGAGTTTGGATTGCTTTTGAAGGCAAAGAACACCTCAAGAACATCTTGATTTCACCTCTTGATTATTGTAAAATGTTTGGTACAATCTCATCTAACTTTTCTCCTTTGAGTTTAGTCATGCTTGGCAAAACAAATCTTGGTTGATTTCTTGTTGAATCCTTTGAACTTTTGTTGCATGTTGAAGAATCCATGAACTTGTTCTTAAATCTTTATGGAAATGTTTTGTGTTTTATCATCTTATCACTACTAGTATATTTTTATTCATGAGTTCAAATGTGTTTGTGGTGATTAGTTGGCTAATTTATTGATTAAGTAAAGGATCCTCAAATTAGCAAGCAACAAATGATTTTTGTGTTGTTTTTGCTTCACACAATCTTAAAAACATCTCCTCCAACATGGTGGTGAAAGCATTTGACCCCTCTTGGATTTGGTGACTTTTTGGTTCTTAATGCTAGTTGACTTTCACTAATTACATGCTTAATGGAAATTGTGACATTGACTAAGGAAATTGTTAAGAGCTTCTCTAACCATTTTAACAACTAAGAAAAGTCTAGGTAATCTCAAGCTTCTTTGATTATTATAGCCAAATTGAGGATTTAAATCAAAGTATTGCACCATTGGATTCTAATGATATGTTCATCAAAAGTCAAAGTGAGGAAACTTTAAGTCAACCATCTCTCCCTTATTGATTTTACATCAAACTCTTATTTTTGTTGCATTTGTCTATTTAAATCATAGTTAATTCTAGTTTGTTTCAAGTATTTAAAAACACCCAAACCCCCCATTTTATTTTTATTGTCATTTTACAAATATTTTTACAAAGAGATTTTTCATAGAGTTATAAATTGAACCAATCTCCGGGGATTCGATCCCTTTACCACTATACACTATTTTAGTGTGTAATATTTCGGGTTATTATTTGTGTTGGCCTCGACAACCACCATCAAACGAACGAAACAAAACCGCATCCCAATTGTGAAGGTTCGATGGATCGCCAAACGAGGACCAGAGTTCACTTGGGAGCGCGAGGATCAAATGAAACTCAAATATCCCCATATCTTGGTTTAGTAGTACTCTAATAACTTAACTGTTTGGATCCTAAATTTTGGACGAAATTTCCTTAACGGGGGGATGATGTGACAACCCAAAGTTTATTCCGTTATTATGTCGCGTTACCGTTAAAGGAATATCCCGTCTCATAAAAGTTTCGTTAATTTGGGGTCGAAAAATAAATAAATGTTTTATTTATTAATAATTTATGTTATTACCGTCGTTATAAAATAAATAAAAACACATAATTTATATTTCCATTTAGTTGGAAAAAGTTTATTTTTAATTACGACCATTTAACCGGATAAAAAGTTTAAACCTCGTTAAACGTCAGTATCGTGTAATCGTATACCGAGTACAACACCCAAACCTTATATAAAGGAGGTTGGACACTCCATAGAAACCTTTTACCACTCTATACACACTTTCTCTCTCTACTCTCTCTCTCTCTCAAGCTCGTTTTCGCCTCAAAACCGCAAGTTTCCGCCTCCAAAACGTAAGATCTTCTACCCTAACTTGTTCCAAACATCATTTCTTGTTGCTATAGTTCAAAAATAACTCAAAATGGCCAACAAAAAGGAGTTCAAGGCCTAAGAACCCCCCTTAGGCTGTAAACACCTAAAATGGTGCCAAAATGCCCAAAACTCCTCCCTTTAGACTTAAGAACTAGTTTTGGGTTAAACCTAGAAATGTTTGAGCCTTAAATCATCAAATTGGGGGGGCTTGGAAGAGGGTTTACGGCCCAAGCACATGCTTAGGCCATAAACACCCTCTAAATATGCAAACCAAGCCCAAAACACTTCCAAAACTCATTTAAGCTTAAGATATGACCAAGGGACTTGCTATTTCGGACTTGGAACATTTAAACACCAACATTTGAGGGGTAAAATAGAGTTTACAGCCCAAGCATATGCTTAGACCGTAAACTCCCCTAAACCATGTCAAATGAAAGCTTAAGTCCCCTAAATAGCCTTATACCCTTACTAGAACATGTTAGGAGTGAATCAAGAACCTTAAAATCAAAGATTGGAGGTGTACAAGAGTTTACTACCGTAAACCATGGGGTTTACGGCCGTAAACTCCCAAGGAGTGGTCTTTGGACCGTAAACTCCAAGGGAGTACACTCTTGTACCCTTAAACACCCGTATACCCTTATAGACTACCTTAGAACCACTTCTAGAACCACCAAAGGCTTGAAACCACTCACTTACACTCCTCGCATGAGTTTACGGCCGTAAAATCATGGGGGATGAGGTCCCCTAACCGTAAACTCACTTAAGGTGAGTTTTAGAAGAGTAAACTCCATGGTGAAGTCATATACTCTATCCGTGCAACCCTTTAGCCTCCTAGCACTCAACCGTAAGACCTTTAATCACATTTGGATGCATATATGTGTTTAATTAGGGTTTAAATCACTAATTATTTCTAAACATATGTCTTCATATGTTACCAGGGTTATAAAGGGTGTACAAGTCTTTACTTAACACCAAACGTTAACCCGACACTTCCACCTGATCCACTCATTGCAGGTGAGTTCATACCCCTTAATGAACCTTTTAAATGTTTTTACATGTTTTAGGGGGGGGGGGGATACAAGTACATTACTACATGTTTTATTATCAAATCATATGTGATTTACAATCTGTCATCAAAAAGGGATTTCTCTACACTTTTAGATACTTATCAATAAAACCGTTTAACTAATTATCACATGCGCTTTTAAGGTTAAATTGTTGTCAAACTATTTTCCAAACAATGTTTCAACTACTTTCCTTTTTAAAAATATATCTACATTAATATATTTATATAAATAAGACTTGAAGGACTTAGGACCGATAGTTGGCCTTATTTCATGTTCTTGTTTGATGTGGTTTTAGGGTATTGGTTGTCCGTCCGACTGTCATTGAATTCTTAATTATATATCATATATATTTGTGTTAGATATGAATGTTTTCATCTTATTCATTGCTATTGTTGATCTGAAGCAGAAATTCACATGCTCTATTTAACTATAATAGGTATAGTTAAGGCTACTACTAGTTACCTCTACTACTACTATACTCACCATAAGCTGTTAATATTACA